AACACCCTTTGCCCTTCACCATGGACTTAATCATGGTCTCTTTCCTGCAATATTCTTAACGTGAGTTAAAACTGCTTGTCTTTTGCTGCAAACTCCTGGAAAGAAAGGCTGGCACCTGGTCTCATGTCATCTCGCTATTGGAGTCCCTGGCTCAGCAGGCGGAGGGTGGCTCTGCCAATGTGGGTTAAGGATGGCTCCTGTTATTGCTCCTGATTTCCATATGTTGGTTGTTTTCTATCACAAAACTAACATCGTTCAATTATAGAAAACATGGAAAAGTACTGACAGGGTTTAAAGAAGAAAATAAAAATGACACACCATATCTCCACTCAGGCACAGCTTAACATTCAAGTGCAAATTTTTCCAGTCATGTTATGCAATTGAAAATTTAAAACCTGATTTCAGAGTATCTCAAGAATGGACAGACAAACACTACACGTACTCACAATTAAATTGGAATTAACCAATGAGCACACATGTGGATAAAGGGAAGTAAAATGCAGTGCAAATCAACCAGGAGGAAGATGGGCGGAGAAGGGCAAAAACCTATCTCATGGGTGCAATGTACACTATTTGAGTAACAGGAGCGCCTATAGCCAGGACACAAGCATTACAAAAGCAACCCATGTAACCTAAAACATTTGGATCCCCTTAAAATTCTGAAATTAAAAAAACAAAAACAAAAAAACCCCTAAATTCAATGTTACTGTAAATACTATTCTGTGACTGGCTTTCTGGAGAGGACTAAATGGTGCGTGCATATTCCTTTATTGTTAAATCTGTTTCCATATCATAATCTTAATCCAGAAGAGGATTCTGTGATATGGATGGACCACAATTTCACTTCCTAGTTATTGTTATTGGGCATTTAAGCTGATTTAAATCCTTGTCAATATATCTCCATGAATAGTCTGGGAAATAAGACTTAACATAAGTCTTGGAAATAAGATTGCTAGGTCTAAGTGTCTACCCAATTTAAAGATGGATACAATTTCAAGAAATGAATTGATCTCTAAAATAGTTAATAAATTTATATTCCCACCAGCATTGAAAATGCCTTTTCCCTCCAGATTTTTCTACATAATTGTAATGAGTAATCATGTGTGTCAACTTGACTGGGCTAAGGGATGCCTAGATAGCTGGTAAAATATTATTTCTGGGTGGGTTGTCCCTATTTCTCTGGAGAACCCTGACTAATACAATAGAATATATTTCTG